GTTTGTGGGTTAGGAGCTTAGCTCAAGATCCCAACTGTGGTCTTGACTTTACCTACCTCCTGGGGTCTTCATAAAAAAATGAGCTAATAATGAAAAACACTTGAAAACAATGTCTGGCATATAATAAGCACTCCATAAATGTGATTTGTTTATAAATGACATACTAGCACTTTGGTATAGTCTATAGTATAAACCCATGTGTTTTTTTTTTTTTTTGAGACAGAGCCTCAAGCTATCCCCCTGGGTAGAGTGCTGTGGCATCACAGCTCACAGCAACCTCCAACTCCTGGGCTCAAGCGAGTCTCCTGCCTTAACCTCCCAAGTAGCTGGAACCACAGGCGCCTGCCACAATGCCCAGCCATTTTTTGGTTGCAGCCGTCATTGTTGTTTGGCAGGCCTGGGCTGGATTCGAACCCACCACCTTATGTGTATGTGGCTGGCGCCTTAGCCACCTGAGCCACAGGCGCCGAGCCCAAACCCATGTTTTTTTTCTCAAAAAATTTATACAACACAGATGAGGAGGCAATATCAACATGGATGACATAATTATAGGGAAATCCTATAATTTAGGTTTGAAAGAGTCTAGACCTGTATCCTTAATAAGTGGCATTCCATAACACAGACTATCTATAAGGGTTAAAATGTGTGCTGTTGCCAGAGCTTACTAGCTTACTAGCCCATGTGTGGAGCACATTGGCAAGTGGGCTATAATATATGTTTGTCAAGATCTTGGCCCTTCATCCTAGGGTCAGTTTTCTTTGACTTTCCCTCAACTGCTTTATACATTTTTATCATTTCTTAGGTATTACTTATTGTGAAAAAAATGTGGAGAAGTTGCTGTCTTTCCTCATGCTTGTAATTGACTTTAGAAGACACCAGCAAAGATACCATGATTTGAATGTGAATGTTAGATTAAATCATACCTCCCCAGTGGTATCTGTTTACCTAATAGGGAATTTGCAGGGGGAGAGGGGGTGGTTGCCAGCACCAGGAAATTCACATCTCATAATTTCAGTGTTTCATTACAATCATCTTTCCAACTCAATCAGTATTAGAGGCAATAAGAGTTAGCATAATGAATACCAAAAATGAATTTTCACTGGTGAAGTTAGTGGCATCCAAAACCCTTAGATGGCCAGAAATATTTTTGAATGTGTCCTAGTCTTGCTATAGTACTGCACAGAAGAATCTGGCAAGGCCTATAGCCTGGACATTTAAGTACAGAGCTCATACTGAAAGACCTAATGTCCCTTAACGAGCAGGGGAATTCCTGCCTACTGGCTGACTGCACAGAATCTGCCTGTGGAATGTTGTTTTGCAAAACAATTAGGCAAAATGTAATCAGATTACCTAAAGAACCCAGACTTTGGGACCTCATATAAACTGTTCTATGCCTGATTGCTAATAAATGTTTGTTTGATAAATGTCTAGGTGAGAGAATTTAGCCTAAGACTTGCTTTATTTGAACATGATATTGAGGTTGGAAAGGAGTAGTTGACTTTTACCTGATCCCTATCTTTTTGTTGGCTTACTACTACCTCGCCCAAAGAATCTGAAAGAATCTACAGGTAGGTATGTGATATTTCCTATCTCACACAGTCATAGCCAAAGAGCTTACCAGGGCCAACAAGACTATATAACAACCCCCTCTCCTATCTCACAACTAATTTCATAGCTCTGTGTGTCCCTCCAATGCAGGAGTCCTAACAGGGTCACCTCTTGCACCTGCAGCAACAGCATCATCAGAGAACTTGCTGGGAATGAAAATTCCCCACCCTTTTCCTCCCCTCCCTTCAGAACTTCTGAATCAGAAAGTCAGGGTGGAACCCAGCAATTGCACTTTAAATTTTTAATAGGGAGTTAAAAATTTTACCTTTCTATGATGTCTTCCTCCCAGCACCCTGGTTAAATCAGGCCTCCATGGTGACACTCTCTCTTGTAATCCCCATCTCCATTATTACCATTTTCATTGTATATTTTCCTTTTTTATCTTCTTTATTGCCTGCCCTTCTGCCTCTCAGGAAATAAGCTCCAAGTGGGCAGGAATTTTTGTCTGCTTTGTTCACTAGAGCCTGGAGTACTGCCAGACACATGATGATGGGCACTGAGTAAATATTCATGGAATAGAAGGCAGAAAGCACTATATAAATTCAAACAAGATGAAGAGGAAGAGGTTGGGTGGAAAAAATCTTTATAAAGTAATGCATTTCATTTATTAGAGAATATATCATAAATCAGTCATGGCTTTAAGATAATATAAAAAAACTAAATTCTAATGAAAATGAAGAGAAATCATTATTTCTAATGGATGTTTGATAATAAATAGACAGATACCTAAAAAACGAGAGAGATACTGAGGCCATGAGTAATGGTACACACCTTTGGTCCCAGCTACTTGGGAGGCTGAAATGGGAGAATGGCTAGAGCCCAGGAAGTTGAGTCCAGCCTGGGCAACATAGTGAGAGCCTGTCTCTAAAACCATAAAAAATATTAACAAAAGAGGTACTGAGGTCTCACCCTTGTTATTAGGTAGTTCTTTTATTAATATTATATCTCACTTTATCCTGTGCTAATCTCCATGATTAGCTCATTTTTAGTTACTATGTTATTAATAGAGAAGTTCTTAGCTGGATGGATAAAAGAAGCAATGAAATACTACTAAGTATTGAATTTGTCTGAGGTCATGACTGACATTTTATCTTGAAGGTTTGATCTTTCCTGCATTATGGGTACCCTGCCAGTTGGACACTGTTATGTTCTGGGGTGAGTCATTAGAATTCATGGAGACATTTCAATCTCTTTGCTATGCAGTGGAATTGCCAGTAAAGGCCTAGGGGAAGCTTTAGAGGACAAGGCCTCCCAGGCAATCTGATGTTTTAAAAAATGAGGCTTAAATTACATACAGTGAAATGCACATACGAAATTTAACAAATGCAGGCCCACATGTAACCAAAACGCCCATCGGGATATGGAACATTTCCCTTCCCCTAGTAAGTTCCGTACTGCCCTGTTCAGTCCTTACTCCCACCCAGGCAAGCACTGTTCTGTGCTTTGTATTACCATGACCTAGCTTGCCTGTTTCAGAATTTCATAAAAATAGAACAATACGTTATATACTCTTTTGTGTATGGCTTTCACACAACATAGTGTCCAACCTGAGCCCACAAGTCACAAACATTATATGAGAACTAGTTTGTTTATTTGTGGTGCTGGATAGCGTAAAAATTATGCCCAGACCTTTATTTGCTGATCAGCTTTCATTAGTGTTTGTGTACTTAATGTGTGTCCCAAGACAGCTCTTTTTCCAATGTGCAGCAGAGAAAACAAAAAGGTTTGACATCCCTGAATGTTTCTTCCAAATATCAGATCATTCATTTCTTTCTACTACTCAGTAGTATTCCGTTGTATGGAGATACCACAATTTGCTTACACATTTACCTGCTTGTGAATATTTGAGTTGTTCACCTGTTGGTGTTAAGAACATCCTCATGCAAGCTTTTTGTGGGCATATTTCCATTTCTCTTGGAAAAATACCTTAGATTAGAACTTAAATATCATGGGATATGTGTAGGTTTAACTATGTTAGAAACTACCAAACTATTCCAAAGTGGCTATTCACAGAAGTGAATACGAATTCTGGTTGTTCCTTACCCCCCTCTAACATCATATTTTCAGTATATTAAATTTTAACCATTCTCGTGAACATAAAGTGATATCTGAATGGTAGTTTTATTTTGCATTTTCCTGATGACTATAGTTGAGCATCTTTTGATGTGCCTTTAGCCATTTGTGTATTTCACTTTTAAACTGTTTGCTAGTCCATTTTTAAATCAAATTGCTTATCTTGAGTTATAAGAGTTCTTAACATATTCTGATAGCAAGTCCTTTTTCAGATATATACTTAAACATATCTCACAAATATTTTCTCTCACTATTTTCCTAATGGTATCTTTTGATGAACAAACATTTTTAGTGTTGATAGTCTATCTTTTATGGTTGGTGCTTTAATATCCATCTAAAAAAACTACCTATTATGGGTGGTGCCTGTGGCTCAAAGGAGCAGGGTGCTGGCCCCATAGACCCAGCCCCAGCCAAAAACTGCAAAAAACAAAAACTACCTATTACAATGCTAAAGATACTTTCCTATGCTTAATTCTAGAAGTTTTATATGCCTAGCTTTATGTTTCAGTCACATTTGATCTCAAATTAATATTGGTTTCATGTAGATATTGAGGTCCATTTTTAGTAATATGCCCTTTGTTCCAGGATTATTGCAGAAAAGATTAGACTTTTCATCCTTCAACTTATCTTGGTACTTTTGTCAAAAACAAATTGATCGTGTAGTAATAGATCAATTTCTGGGCTTCCTATTCTATTCCAGTGATTGATTTTTCTGTCCTTACACTGTTACACCATCTTGATTATTATAGCTTGAAATCCAAACATGCAATTTGTCAACCTTCTTCTTCTTTTTCAAGATCAATTTAGTTATTCTATGTCTTTTATATTTTCTTGTAAACTTTAAATCGGCTTGTCAATTAAGAAAAAAGCCTACTGAATTTTGATTGGGATGGCCTGGACTCTATAGATCAATTTGAAGAAGATTGACATCTTAGTATTGAGCCCTCTAATACATGAATTTGGGATATATCTCTTCTAATAATTCAATCTTCTTTAGCTTCTCTCTGCAATGTTTGTTTCAAAGTCTTGCACATATTTTGTTAAATTAATCCATAAGTCTTTTCTTTTTTATGCTATTTAAAGAGTAGTTTAAAATTTTAAATGTCTACTTGTCCTTTGTTAATATACGGAACTATCGTTTTATTTTTGCACATTGACTTTTTATCCTGTGACCTTGGTAAATGTGCTTATTCGTTCTAGTATTCTTTTTTAATAGATTCTTCACGATTTTTCTACATAGACTATTAATCATCTATAAAAAATATAATTTTACTTCTTTCTTTCCAATAGGTAAGCCTTTCGTTTCTTTCTTCTTCTTTTTTTTAATGAAATGTTTCTCAAATTTGTGTGTCATCCTTGTGTGGGAGTCATGCTAACCTCCTCTGTATTGTTCCAATTTTATTGTATGTGCTGCTAACTTACTACACTGGCTAAGATCACCTGTATAATGTTGAGCAAACATGATAATGGATATTCCTGTTTTTTTCTCAGTCTTAGGAGAAAACTGTACTGTTTTTTAACATTGAGTAATGTTAGCTGTTAGTTTTTTTGTAAATGTTCTTTATTAGGTCAAGGAAATAACTTCTATTATAAATCCATTGAATTTTTATATCTGCTGGTGTTGAATTTGGTTTATGATTTTTTCTGGATCTTTCTGGCAAAAAGATATTAATAATATTCCCTTATTATCCTTTAATATCTGTAGGCTTGGTAATGACACCCTGTATATCATTGTCTCTTTTTATTGATTAATCTAGTTAGAAGTTTATTAATCTTATTAATGTTTTCAAAGAAATAGCTTTCGGGAATCCTGGAGCAACAGACTATTTCCTTGTAACTTTGTTTTTAGAACTATAAAACTAAAGTATTTTTAAAATTAACTTGTTCTCATTGAGTCTAACTTCAAAAATGTAATTAGGGATGCCATTGGTTAACCATGGATTTTTTAAAAAATTGTGGTAAAACAAACTTACCATAAAATTTACCATTTTAACCATTTTTGAGTGTACAGCTCAATAGTGTTAACTGTATTTACATAGTTGGACCTCTGGTCTTCAGAACTCTTTTCATCTTGTAAAACCGAAACGTTCGACAAATCTTCATTTCTCCCTTCCCCACCTCCTAGAAACACCAACCATTTTCTGTCTCTGTAAATCTAACTAGATACCTCATATTAGTGGAATCACCCAGTATTTATTTGTCTATTTTGTTTGGTCTTTTTTTTTT